GGATGAGCTAACTTGGACAAATCAACACGTTAAGACAAATAGTTTTGATTTCATTGTTTGTTTTTGGAGGGGAAAAAAAAATTTGCTTAAGAATGTTGGAGAGGTGATTTTTGTCTCTTGATCCAAAAAGTAATTAATAGGGCCAGCAGACCTGCAGTTGGAATTTGATCACAGAGGACAGAGTTCATGAGACAAATTCAACCCTAGTTTAAATGCTACATGGTCTAACGAGTCTTAGTATCTATGTTATTTTCTTAAATGTCTGCCTTGCAGACACCTCAGATCTGGAATCTGAAAATCCAGCTGTGTCCTTGCTGCTTCTCACAAAATCATGTAATTAGAACGTGCTGATAACTTTGTTGATGCACGAGAGATAAAAATCCATTCCACCTCCTGCTGGTGGTAAAAGCGTGGTTTCATCAGGAAAGAGAACACATATGAATTAAAAACACACTGAGGAAGACAGCATCATTTTCACCAAGACACTTTTCTGACATCACCGCCATCAGCATATGCTACGTACTATTGCTTTGTGGCTTGAATTGCGTTACTCTCAGCCTGAAGTTGCATTAATCAGGACTGCGTGGTGCTAGGCACTGCACAGAACAAGAAGACGTGTCCATGTCCCTGGAAACGCTCCTGTCAGGAAGCAAGTGCTCCAGCAGCAGAGCTTTCCGAGGCGTTTCTGCCGCTCCAGAGTCAAGCCGCTATCAGAGCTTGCTTGTCTCGTGCAACCCAGAACAGGCTTGTCACGCAGTTTTTTTATGAGTAGGGAACATGACATTTAGTCAAGCTTTCCATGCTAAGAATTTCATGTTACATATTGTTAAAGATGACTGAAATAGGTTATGTACACATCAAAATAAGTGAACTTTTACCTTTCCTATTGCAAGTTATCCGTGACATCCTTGGAAATCATTGACTTCTCAGCTATTGACATTGTTGGGGGAAGGGGAAAAAGGTTCATCTTGCAGGAAATGCTGACTCAGAGATTTCTCAAGAAAATCTACTTTCTTAGCTGAAGAAAAAGATTCATTATTTGCTCATCTTGATGAAATCTAATTGTGATATTTATATTCTGTATTAATTTGATTCAGTAAAGATTTCTGAGACAGGCAAAGCCGCCAATCGTAATAATTTGTTCTGAAGCTTTTATTACCGTTGTGTTTTGAATACAGGTACTAAAACAACAGTGGAGCAGCAAATGCTAGCCCTTGCATATTGCTTAAGATGCTACCTATGCAATTCCTAAAAATATGAGCTCTACTCCTAATGGGAGTAAGTAACAAAGCTCCCATTGACTTCAGTTGGATATGGATTTCATCTGGTAAATATAGGGCATAATCTTGGGGTGGTGTTGCTTGCTGAAGAACAGTTAAAGCCATTTGCAAGGAACAGTTTCCATTAGCTTTGAGTTCTCCTTTGTACTTTAGAAAATAGAGTCACATTCTGTATATAAAATTGCATGAAAAAAAAAAGTTTTTCTTTTAAGTTGAGCAAACATGCTTAAAAAGAGCAGGCTGTTGGTACCAGTAGCTGTGACTTAGTATATATTTTTTTCTGCACTTTCAAATACTCATTACAATTCCTACATATTTTATAGCAATATCGCACAATAAACATTTCTTTTCTGATTAAGGGATTGAAAGGGAACTGAATTATAAACAGTATTAATATAAGAGGGAATTTGTATCCTGTGCTCTGTAGGCCTGAGTTTATATGACCTTAAACAATCGGTCTGAAGAAGTCACATCAGCTGCTGTACACATTCCACATTACTGAGGAATTAAATTAAGCAGCTTTAATATCTGTGAAATGGCACAGGCCTGAAAGAGAATCGTTCCAATTTATGGACTTTGTATCTGATTTACTAGTGCATGTCTAGCAATTTCAGAGCCACCAATTGCTTTAAGACCACCTCCAAAGTGTTTTTATCACTTACAGTAAATGTGCTAACATAATGTTTTAATTAAACATTTAAAGTGCATCAAACAAATTTATTGATAGTGCCAGAAAAAGAAGAAGAAGAAGGAGAAATTCTGCTATTTGCAAAATCTCCTGATGTATGCACCGTGTTGTGACCCTGGTAAGATTGCTCTTAAACATTTCAGCTAGTGTCTATAAATTAAAAAAAAAAAGCTTTCCCTCCCCTCCAGTTCCCTCGTTTTCCTTCTCCAACCTCCAGATCATACTTTGTGCATAAAATTATGGTAAGAGCATGTTGAAAGCTATTCAGCTATAATATCAAATGGTTGTGAACACTGCATTTATTTTTGCTTCTTGAACACAGGCCTGATATTGAAATGATATAAAAGTCCCAGCAGCACTTTATATTGATGTTGGCATTAAAAATGCTTTTTCCGTTAGTGAGAGAGGAGTTCCCCCTTAAAAAAAATAAAAGCCAATACCAGGCCTATCAAAACTTTATCATCCTGTTACCACTTGGGCACTGTATTAAATATTCACAGCTGAAGCTGGTTTTCATTAAAAATCTTTTTCCCTTCTGCACTGGGGATCGCAGAACTGACACAGATCCAGCATTCCTATAACCCTTTAAAAAGAGAGCGCTCGGCATTGCGTCGACAGCACTGAAAAGACGCATTCAAGTTTCCTTAGTCCCCGGTTTGGTGCTCGCAGGAACGATGCAGGGTGGCAGGGGCAAAGACCAGCCCCAGGAGCGCCGGGGTCCTTCCCACCGGCTGCTCCGGTTCTGTGCGGTACTTGCCGTGGAGGTGGACCTCGGGGCGTGCGGCACAGCAGCACACTGCAGAGGAGCGAGCTGCAGAGGGCTAAAATGTGATTTACGCTTTATGGCATCAAAACCATGGGCATGTTATTTGTATACATAATATAGCTTGGGTTTTCTTAGTGAGGGGAAGAGTATTTTGTCTTCCTTAGTAAGCGTTTGTTTTAGAGGCTGATAATCGTGGCAGGTTTGGTTTCCCATATCTTTTCTTGCATACATCAGTTGTTGTGTAAGAGAGAACAACTAAATACACTGGGTACAATATGAATGGAAATCATATTTCCATACCAAGCAGACTTACAGATGCCTGGAGGTTGGAATCTAAGCAATTCCCGTTAAGAGCAGTACTGCCTGCTAATAAACTGATACACAAATGTGAAGCACATTTCATGTATTTTATATTATATTTGTATTATATTATATATCATCCACAACTGAATTTGCTCCATTTGTTCAAACTCTGTAACTATAAGGATCACATGGTTGGAAAGGAAATGAGCAAGGAAACTGTAACCAAGGCAGAATGCCCTGACAGAGCTGAGAACCGGCTATTGCCAGGAGACTATTCTTACTTCTGTTTAAAAAAAAAAAAAAAAGAAGAAGGAAAAAGAAGGAACATAGGTATTTTCCTCATTAGAGATCAGGACGTCATTTTTGCATGTCTTTCCACCACTAGCTACATGAAGGTTGCTGTATCATCTATCACAAGGTAGGACAATTATTTTAATGGTCACCATTCAGGGACATGAGAACCACCACTAACTACATGCCTTGTGATCTCCCATCGTGTACTGACTCACACCAGCCCTGCCTTGGAAGACAAAACTAATGCAGGCTGTTACTGTGGTTCAGGGTTACCTTGTGGTCCATGTCTATTATTGTCTCTCTTGTCTCCTGCTTTATATTTAACTCTTTGGGCATTCTAGGATTTAGCATAATGGAGCCTAAACTGTGATGTGAGCCACTGAGCAGTAAAACAGGGTGAATGAGAAAGAAGTAATAATTGTGGCTTTCAGCATGAAGGTGGAGACATTTTCTGGAGGGAAAAAAAAAAAAAAAGAAATAAAGACCCCAGAAGAAGGGTGCAGCATTTCTCTTCATATCAGTTTATCATAGATGATTTACCATTGTGTTCTAGGGGACTGATTTTCAAAAAGAATGAATTTTGCATTAAATTCTGAGTATAGTTACTGGAGAAGATATGATGTTTGCCTATTCAGATGATGAGCTGGATGCATAAGTGATCGCATCAATGGGTAATATGCACATTCAGTCATGCAAAAAATTTGCATGCCCTATAAAGACCTAAAAGTTGAACATCTGGCCTTTTCTGTGGCACCTCAATTTTGTATCAACGTCTCCTATTCTTTGAAAGGTTTATTCCTAAAACCGTCAGATCATCACAGTCTTGATACAACATTCATTGCGCACTGTTCATAAATGAGCCAAGCTCAGCTGTGGTTGGAATGACTTTAATTGCTCTGTATTATAGATGTTATGTTTACCATGTGGTCCTTGAGTTGTGCGTAACCGGACATCCATGAAAGAAAAGGTGGTGCAATTCTTCCACTATGTAGGGCAGTCTGTATTTTGACCTAATGGAAAAGCTTCATTAAACTTCTGTGACATATGCTTTATGTGCAGTTGATAGCCAAAGAGAGTCAGACAATAACTCTTTACTTCTAACCAGCTTTTATATTTTCCAGAAAAATATAATTAATTGCTAGTACAAAGTGTGAGGAAAGAACATCTAAAATGAGGTGAAGTAAAGTATCAGGTACCATTCCCTTCCCTGAGCTTTGTCCTGCAGGCTGCTCAGCTAACTGCTGTTGCATCCAAGTCTTCTGCTAGATTTTCGAGTAAGGTAGAAAGTTACACTTACCCAGGACGTTGTAAATCGTGATGTTATTTTTCTATCCTATTACTTTGGAAGGATAGCGATGAAAGTTGCTCCTAACCAGAAAGACTGGTGCACCAAGCGCTTCTCTAGTGTCTGTCTACTACTGCCTGGCTGCTGATGCTGAAGAGCATTAATATGCTATGGGAGCTCCCTCCTCATAGCAAGTCCTCCACTTCTCATTGTCTTTATTTTTGTAATTTTGCCCTTGCCCCAGCCACTCTAAGCCTCTGAAGAAGTTTGGATTTGGACTTTGCAGCTCATGCATCCCAGTATATTAGTTAGGAGACCTGTGAAACCGAGGAAGGAAAGTAAGTTATTAGCTGAAGTTCCCAAATGAAGAGCCAAATGCCGAAAAAAGGTCCTATGCTTTTATTCAGCCTCAGCTGAGGCAAAATTCTTGAGTAGCATCAATAAAACTATCTGTTAAGTTCCTGTTGCCATCCTTACAGTCTGGGTGGCAATGTAAGAGGTGCTTGACTTGCAGATTCTCAGCCTGGGTTTGCAGGACTGTGATTCAGGAAATTTAATCACATTAGAGTTGAAACACACTTTCTCTGGAAGTCAGCGGGACGGGAGGCTAACGCTGTCTCACTCCCATCACGTTACTGAAACAGAGACATCCTTCTGACGCGTTTTGGTTGTAGGACAAAAGTCTGGAGAAGAAAAGGGGCCCTTTTGCTTCTCTTATAAATTTGGTCACAGCTCCTCCTGATGAGCGCCCGTTTGCTCTCAGAAGCAAAGCAGTGATGCCCACTGGTCTCCCTGCGGCCTCTCACACTGCAGGAGGCTGTCTAGTCATTTTTCTGTTTAAAATTATGAAAGAGCTAATGCACCTGACTGGAAGCCCTGTTTCTATCCTGCCAGCTGCTGTCACAGACTAAAAAAGGAGGAGGATGGTCTCCAAGCCTCCCTATTGTTTAAAGGCAGGTGGTAGAGAAGGTAATGATGGGGGTTACGAGTCCTTCCCGTGTATGCAGAAAAGGTGCTCTTTTCATGCTTGTACTTCTGACCCCAAGGTCAAGTTCCAGATAGTTGTGAATGTAAAGTTTAGTTACGTTTCAGAAAAGCCATGGGAAGCCTAAAACCGAATTCTTTATTTTCCATTAGGAAATCCGGTAACAGCACTACTCTGAGATTGTATCTGCAGTTTTGTAGCACCTTTGCTGCAAATAGGCATTGCAGGAACTCCAGGTGGGTTCCTTGCCAGCAGTCAGAAAGGAATTCCTACTCAAGCAGGAAAATCCTCTCTGAGGAAGGGTACCCTGGGGAAATGAAAGGATAGACCCTCAGGAACTATCAATCTCCTCTGCTGGTCTAACAACAGTTTGCCCTGCTGAGGCCCATGCATGGGGTGTTTACCTGTCTGACTTAGCCATAGAAAATGAAGAGGAGGTTAACAATTAATCTCTGCAGCTGGCAACTGCTGTAGTGAGTTGACAGGGTGGTGCATATTTTTCCATATACCAAGAAGGTTTTGCAGCACTGGAGTGACCAAATATTAGGGTTCACGTGTGGTACCTTGCCCCAGACACTTACAATTCAAGGCACTACTTGACCTTGATAGAGTCAACTGCACTGACCTGTTTAATTTTGGTGATATGGAGGTGTTGGCATCCCGATTCTTCACTGCAGCAGTGTGCATCCAGCTATAGAATCAGCCTTGCATTCCCAGCCGTACTTGCAGAATAATGTGGCATGATGTGTATCTTTCCTTTGAATCTGCAAGGGTAGATTTACTAATAACAGGACATTTGAGTAGTGTGGAAAACTGTGGAAACTTTATGGTATATCACCCCTCTTATTAGTGGCTCCTAGTGCTTTATTTTGGGTCATCAGCTGCAAAAGGATAGAGCCAAGTGCTGCTGAAATCAACTTTAAGCTGAACCCTGAATTTCAGGCAGATAAAAAAAAAAATCACTGCTAAAAAGACTGCAGGAGATGGACTCTAAACCTGCTGGGGCTAAAGTAACACCAAAAAGTGCTAACCTTCCACTACATGTGGCCTGTCCCTAAGTAGTTCAATACTTACGTTAACAACTATGTAAGGTGTAAATCTGGAGAAGGGACAAGAAGAAATAAAGAGAGAAACTGCCCTACCTGTCTCCCGCTCCGCAGGGAATAACATGGGCTATATTCACAGTAACTGGCTCTAGTAAATGCTGTAAACGGAGGCGGGGGGAAAGCAGCGGCTGAAATCTCTGCGCAAATTGCAGGGAGACAATCCTGTATCTCCAGATCTCGCTATCAGTCTAATTCCAGCGCTGTGCAAATAAATAAGATCTACCATTGCTAAAGCCCTTAAACCCCTTTGTACCCCAAGTTAAGTACTGGTGTCCGGGTCGTATCTTTCAAACTAGTTAGTATTTCTGGGAACTAAACAGACAATTTCAGGTACGGAAAGATCCCCTCCAGCAATATCATGCGGTCACAGCTTCTTGTTTGCCCAGAGGAGTAACTGCAGGGAGCGCGTGATCGGTGTGTTTTGTCGTGCAGGACATCTCAGGCCTTGCTTTAAGAAGAGGCACTATAGCATCTGCTTTTCACCATGAGTAGTAGGTGTACGAACGTGCTGGCACCTCGAGCAAGTGGCTTCTGGGGCACAGGCAATAGTTTTTTTGCTTTTCACGAGCAAAGCTGGTCTTGAGAGCAGAGGAGAAAAATGCTGAAAGCGGTGGTTGCATTTTAGATACTTGTAGCATCTCATGTGCATCCATTAGGGAAGGATTAAACAGACATCATTAGATAAATTCTTTCTGAAAGACGGTTCTGCAAAAGGATTCGAGTGCATACCTACTCCACGTCCTGCTTGAAGTACTAACGCTGCTCCAGCAGTAGAAGCAAATGCCTTTTGAAGGAAGTTCAGAGTCACAGCGCAGTTGCTTGGCTTTATAGTTTGCTAGCTGCATGTCATCTTTGAAGGCTGGGAAATTGCAGTGGCAGGACGGCGATTCCCAGCCGAGTGAAGCAGACACTCGACACATTTCATCCCTTGCAATTAAGGGAGAAGCAGAACTGGGGAAAAAATCAAGCCGTGTTTTAATAATAGACCACTCCCTTACCTAGATGAAGTACAAGTGTCACACTTTCACAGACATGTGCCAGGACCGATTCTAAGCGCAGACAGTAATAAACACATGAGAATTTTGCATGAAAAACCCACACTTTTAAGACTTGGTGTATTGCTCTTAGTCATTTACACACATCCTTCTAAAGGGAGGAAGATTAAACATAATCAAAATCTATGTGCAAATTACCAAGTCAAATGCTGCTGTTCTACTCTGTTCTCTTTTAATATCAGAGAGCAAAGCTCATGGTGCAAAAAATACAATCTTGTGATAAAATGACTAATACATGACTAAAGCCGTTTTCCATTGTGCAGGCATAGCTCTGGGGATCATTTGTTTTTCATGGTAGATCCCTCAGACAGTGAATTCCTCTGGTGGTTGGTATTATATTAATGACCAGGACTGTTAGTCACCTCAAGGGAGCTGAAATAGGATGCCACTCTGGTTGCCATTATTAATTCCAACTGCAGGTGTGAAAATTAATTTCATGGGTATTTTTATCCTTTCCTTTTAGTTAAGGATTAAAGTTTCTGAATGACCCAGGCTCCGGATGGAGACAAAGCTGAACTGGATCTACCTAGAGCTCCCATAGCGGTGAGCTAATTTTAATGGAGGAGGAGGAGGAGGAAAAAAGGGGGCATAAGACTTTCCATCCCTCTCTGGCTGAAGACAATTAATGACACTGAAAGATATCAGATGTCATCATGACATACACTTCTTTGCACCAAGACTCTATAAAGCAACCCAGTAAATTGCAGGTTGTTTTCATTTCTGCGGAAGAATAACGCATTTGCCAATAGTGGGAGAAAAAAGGAGAAGTTAAATATATCAAACTAAATCAAATGTAGCTGATTAGAAAGCTACAGTTTCCATTTGCTGGCACTCGTACTGTTTTCACATAGATTTTCTGACAGATGCTGCTATATCTACATAGTCAAGAAGACAGTTGCAGCAGCCAAGCTCCTGACACAGAAATCCAACCTGGCGTCATTGGCTCTAGGTGGAGTTTGGCTGTAATATTTGGGGAACGGGAGGGGAAAGGATGGGAGGAGAGTCACCTCACCTTGGCCGGAGAGGGTAGGAGACGTAGTCAGCTGGATCAGTTAAGGAGGGGCAGGCGAGGAAGGGGGAAATACCTTCCCCATCCCCCCCGGTTTCTACCCATGATTAAGCCTCGACTCCTGCCAGTTTGAGTGGCAAAGGTGTTGGCTCCAAAACTGTCTAGTACTCATTCACACCTCCTCCTGCCAAAACCCCGTGACGAATGCTCGGAAGATAAGCAGGTTAGGCCAGATTCGGTCAGATAATTAAAGGTTGGAGGTAACCTAAGATCCTTATGTGCTCTCATACGTACAGCTCATCTGGGGTTTGGATTTATAGTGCGTTGCGCTCATAACCACCTTTCATCCTGCAGCCCTCATCATGTCGGCGGCATCTTTGCCGCGCGGGCAAGTACGCTGCCCGTTCTCTAGGGGTAAGGAAGCCTTGCTCAGGAGCAGTGGCAGGTTTAGCGAGTGCCGAGCTCCCTTCTGCGTCTGGGCTGCGGTCATCAGCCCCGGCTCGATCTTTATTTCAAGTATCTCTCGTTATTGTTGCAGCCTTTTTGACCCGATCGCTCTAACCTTGCACCTCCTGTAGCCATTTCTATCAGTGCAACTTGAGCGCACAGTAGGTGGAAAAGCTCCCGTTTGGCATTGGCTGCATTTTACACCCCTCTTCCTGTGCTGCGAATGACTGTGCTGGTATAGCTAGCTCTGAGTGACTGGAGAGGCTCGGCGCCAGCCCTTTTCTCTTATAATGAGCCTTTTTAGGTCATGTAAGCCAAGAACCTTGTGTTGCAAAAGACCCCATCCGTTACTTTAAGCAGTTATCATGTTTTACTGTTTACACGGAGTAAGCCGAGGGCATGGCGCTCAGCCCATCACAGGCAGCACAGTTTATCACCCGAAAGTAATGAGTCTGTGCCATCTCTCGTGTCAAGACGTTAAATCACAGATTTGTTTAAAATTTACTTGAGTTCATAACTCTGAGTACAGAAAGACCATTTCAACCTGTACAGTTACACATCAAAACATCACTTCAAAATTGCACCCTCCTCACCACTTACCGACGTTTGACTTTAAGAAAGAGCTAGCATACAACATTCCCGTATTTTTTCATGCTGCCATTGTGACTGTTCCTTACTGTTGCAACAACTTAATGCAGAGCAGAAGGGGGAAAAGAAGCAATGATTTTTTTGACCTAAAAAAGATACAAAGGCAGTGTTCATATCACAGGACATTGCTGGGACAGCTCAGATATATAACATTAATATAACTCCCTATTCTCCTCCCTTAACTAATGTTAGTTTTCAGTTTCTGTGGACTTTTCAGATAAATAAGGTGCACGAATTTTTACTAGATTCTCTATTTACCCACTTCAGCTAATTCCAGAGCAAATACTACCTTATATAACTTAACATGATCATTCAAGTTATAAATGATAAATTCCACCAGAAAGCTTGATAAAAATCTTTATTGCAATTTTAAGTTTTATTTCTTTCGGATAAATAGATTTTTGGCATCAAAATGTCTTTACTGATTTTTAAACTGAGGCAAAAGCCATTCATGAAAATTAGTAAACTAGGACATGCATCATAAAACAAGCACAATACAGACCTTGTGACACCAACCTTTAGACACCTCTGAAAGAGCTGCATGTAGCTTTTCAGCTGCACGTCTGTGTCGTCCTCCATTCAGACAGAGGAAAATGCTTCTGGATCATACAAAGTTACTCAGAATACTTCTAATGTTTTGTGAATATTATAAGCAAGCTATGAAAATATTCTGATTGCTAAAGGGCAGCCACTTCATTCTGACTCAGGGCACACAGAATAAATTCACGCGCTCAGGTGTAGCCCTGATGCTGGGTCTCCCCATATAGTGGCTGTTAGGCATTTCAAAGGGAATGAAGTCGAAGCAGCTGTTAATACCTCGCAATTCCTAGAGGAGAAAAGCAAGCCCTCTCGGCTGCTAAGGGGAAAATGGAGTAATACTGCACAGAAACAATTAAGATATGTGTTTAAGTGTGCCTTTTCAAACCTTTTTTTTTTCTAATTTAGCAATGGAAACTTTAAATAAAAATGAATAGAGGTGGTGTATTTAGGGTCTGCGCAGACTGGCCAAAGTGGACGCTGTATTGGAAAAGAAAACAATTTTTTCCCCCCTTTTGCCCAGTTTTAAGAGATCTTCAAAGGTGGCAAGCCTGGTGGATTCAGTAACATTAATGTAAAACTGAAAAGAGAAGAAAGAGGAGAAGCAGGTTTCATTAACAGAGAATTCAACATAAAATATACTGGAGCTGATGGAGGAAAGGGAAAGACAGCCAAGATGTTCAGCTGCAAGTGGAGTCCAATTTGATGCTCAGCATGAGTTTAAAAGGAAGATTTTTCTCAGCCTTGAAATAAAAGAGCAGTATTAGATGTGTATGGGGCAGAAAACTATAGCCACAAAAATGGATTGTACCAGGCTCAGGAAAAACCCAGAGTGACAAAAGTAGCTCATTTTGCTGTGCTACATTTATAGATATGCTCATCTGAATGCTCCCAGGCACTTGCTTTACGCATCCAGACAAAATATCCATGCAAGTTAGCACACAGTATGTATCACGCTGATAAATCCCGAGTGTAAAGGAGATCCATCATCAGTTAACGGGGAATTTTGCCTTTGACTTTGGGGGAGCAGACCTTATTTCCTGCCGGCAGATCTGCTGATGTCTTCCATTTTTTGCAGTGCCAACCTTTTGACATAAACAAATTGCTAACATCAAGGACCCAATCCTGCTTCCACTGAAATCGATAGGAGTTTTGTCATTGGTTTCAATGGGATCGAGGATTCAATCCTGCAGTTCTTGAAGTCAATAGCTGCCTTTTTTTTTTTTTTGCATAAGTAGGGTTGAATTAGTGCTGCAGGATGGGCCTAAATTATATTGATTATCTGGATTTAAAGCCTAGCATAAAAATAGGATTAAGAGAAAGACAGAATTGTTTTTAAAAGTGAGTTTAGAGCAACACGCGTTTCCCTGGGTGGAAGGGATCAGCAG